GTGTATCCTTACAAAAACCAATACAGAACAATAATAAGAAGAAATAAAATGACACAAACCTAGGTCTTCAACACATTCAGACTTCAAATTAACTGCAAGAAGAAAAATCAAAACAGAATCCCTATGAGCTAGCTCCCATGTTCCAGCTGTAAGCCTTTGCAAACAGCAACGGCAGTTTAGGAAACACTGAATGGAACAGAGAAGAGAGGAGCTAAGATCATGTCTAACACTGATCTAAAACCACCACCAGAAAGTCTATCCTATGAGTGTAAATAATAGAAAAGCATAATATAGATTAGAGTATGGATTTTAAAGTACATAGGATACAAGGAGGGGGTCTTGTAAAGTTGATGTGAGGGGTGGAGGGAAGAGGATTAAAAGGAAGGAAAGGTGCTAACCTCAAACCATCAACCCCGTCCGTGGATATGCAGAGATACACAAAGTCCTCATTTATTAAAAACAGAAACAAAAAACAACCACAAAAATAAATGGTTACAAGAATTCAAACAATTCATCTGACAAAAATTTTCCTCAAAAAAAAAAACAGCAAAGGAATACAACCAAAAAGGTGAAAAAAAAAAAACCAGCAATAACAAAGTAAACCAAAAGAAAGTACCAAGAAGGAAATGATAAAGATAAAAGCAGCAATTAATAAGGTAGAGGACAGAAAAACAGTAGTTATAATTAATAAATCAAAATCCTACTTGCTGAAGAAAAATAGCAAAATAAGCATACCACTAGATAACTTAAGGGTGAACTTACAGAGATACAAAATCAGAGATGACAAGAGTGAAATAACCATTGATACAGAAGAAATTCTAAGACATTACTTTACAGACATGTATACAAATAAATTTAAAAACCTACATGGAAGAGATAATTTCCAAAATTGATCCCATTAGAGACAGAAAGTTTAAACAATCCAATTTCCATAAAAGAAATAAAGAAATAAAAGAAATAAAGTTATCAAGAAAGTACTCCACAAAAACCACTATGCCCAGATAGTTTTATAGGGCAATTTCACCACCACTTGAAAGACCAAATAGCCTTGATGCTGCATAAATTGTTCCAGAGCCTTAAAAATGAAAGACAATTTCTTAATTCTTTTTTGTGAAGCAAGTAAAACATTTACACATAAAGCATAATAAAAAAGAAAGAAAGAAAATGACAGACTAATATCACCTTTAAATATTGACACAAAAGCTTTTTTTTTTTTTTTTTGAGACAGAGTCTCAC